AAATTATTTCGTCATTAAACCTAAATTAAATTATAAAAAAATTGAATTAAGTAAATTACACAAAAAAATGAGAACTTATATATATTTTTAATTTTTATGATATCTTCAAATTTATATTTAAAAAAAATTATTGCTTGCTCAAAACCACATAAATCCATATTATAATATCAACAGAGACCAAAAAAATAAAACGAAACATTAAAATCGAAATATATTCCGCTGCATTGCGCGAGTTCCTTTATAGTATTTTACAATGTTTTACTGATATAAGTATAATTTTTTTGTTAGTTTAAAGCTCATAAATAAGCTTAAACTGCCTAATTCGGTCAAATCCGGCCGTGTTTTTGTAGTCCAGTTTCATTTGATATCAAACCGTTCGGTTTGTAAAATTTTTGAAAACCTTCATTATAGTTTGGTTTATGGTTTATGGGTTTAAACTGTTACCGCCAACGTCCCATCTCGTAATTACGCTTTTAGCCCCTGTATTTGCTTTTGCATTCGATGCGAGTCATTTCTTAGGGTTGTCACATTGATAGACTTAAAAGATTGTTTTGTTGTAAAAATGAATTTCTTTTTATTAACCTGGATATCCAACCCGTTATGTGAGCTGATTAATCTCAAGGCGACTATCTGCTTTGCAGATATCCCGGAGTCACCGCATTTGAACCTCCGTAACCACAATGAGATTTTTATTCCTCCTTAGATTTGAACATGAGACCTCCTGATACTTTTGACCTTTGGAGCCAAACTCAAACTAATCAGGCACCACCATTGTGGTTGAAATTGCTTTTTATTGATAAAGATTAAAAAAAAATAGAATATTGAAAATGATACAATTCTTAAACAATGTTTTTTTTAAACATTTACTTAAAATAATATAAATATAGAGGAATTGAAAAGACCTTGGATCATGTGAGACTGGTCTGTTTTCGTGAGACCCGTGAGACCATTTTTTACACTTGAAACTTCACAGTAAAACATTGTAAAGATAGAAAAAATCGAACATTCATAGCAAAAACGTTGTCAATGCTATCTTCACAGCGTTCTGTTGTGAAGTTTCAAGTGTCTCACGAAAACAGACTGGTCTCACGTGAACCCAACCCGTAATGAAAAACTAGATATAAAGTCTATTTTGTTGAGTTTATTTTTAAATTAAAGTGAACTAAATGCAAGATATTCTTTGAATTTATAACGCGTATAATATAATAAATTAATAATTATTTTTCAAAAAATCTGTAATTCAAAGATGTTTTTTCTCATTAATATTTGAAATTATAAAAATTAATTAAAAATTTAATAAATATTAATTTCCGATTATTCATTTATGAAATCCTTCGTCATGTCGAAAAAATCCTTCCTAAATTTTATAGCAATTTTATTTAATGTTTTATTATTTTTATTTTTTATAATATAAAACGATGTTTAGGGGTTGTTTGGTAGTTACTGAATGTTTTGGTGCAAAATGATTAAATGGTCAGAATGATTAAGAGACTCTTATGATATAATGCAAAATGAAATATAATTGTTTGACAATTATTTACAATGAAATTATGGAGCTGAATGGTTAAAGAAGACTCATGATACAAAATGGAGGCTTTTAGAACCATTAAGAGACAAACTTTTTTTTGTCAAACAAGATTCACCTTTTAACGATTCAGAAGCTACCTCTTAATGAAGCTATTAAGTTCATGTAATAATATTAACTTAGAGGTTACATTTGAAGTTTGTTTTATATTGTTTTCATATATTCAAAATAAACTTTAACCCCCAAAAAGAACATCATAACTACCGAATAAACCACCCATATACCAACTCAGCCATTGCACTCTTACCCATCACCGTCAATAACCACCATTGTCGCCGACTACCGTTGACACAGAAGAACATTGACGGATCCGGGAAAACTCATGACCAAAGATACCCCGCAAATTTATTCGGAGATGAAGGCATACATTCTTCTGGGTGGGGGCACTTTCCCATAAACCCGCCCACTGTAAAAAGAACCAAGATTCTAACAGCACAAAACCCTGAAAAAATTAAAACCAGTAACTCACAGTCAACACATTTATCACCGACCAAACACTCCATCTTTGCACGAAAATCCACCATAACATAACACATACGATTATCGGTCACTACATTTGTCCTACCACCGCTTGTCATCACCGATTACCACCTATACCCTGTTGCCATCATGTCTGCATAGCATACATGAACAGATTTCACTGTAATCAACAACTGGATTATTGAAAAAACGAATTTCAATTTATGACCAAATCTAGTTAACAAATGTTTAAACATCCTTTTAAGATCCAAAATCTTGACCGAACAGATAAAAGTTATGTCATCCATTTATGGATGTACACATCATAATTGCTTAGACGAAACAAAAACAACATTTGAACTCATGATTTCTACTGTTGTGATCGAATCTCGAACACTTGAGTGATTCCGCTTGGACACTTGATACTAGAAGGTGGAGATCCCGGTGGCATTTTGAGATACCGGATAGACACTGCAAGACGCAGCTGGCTTCAACTGTCGTGGCTTAGATGGCGGTTTTGCTGTTGCTGTTTGTGGAAAAAGTTGGTGGTACTCGATAAAGCACAACGGGATCTTTTTGAATTCTTCAGCAAAATCGACCTCCTCCTCTTCTGGTGGCGGAGGTAACGGTGGAGGTTGCGGTCGACGTTTCTTCGGATATGGAACAAATTCCATGTCTGGTGATACGTCTGTGAAGTAAAACGGAATCCGTGCAAGCTCCTTTGCGAAATCAATGTTGCAGAGATCCAGCAAGTCAGGGTCTTGCTCAGATAGGGGAGACACTGGTTTATTCTCCATAGTATTTAGGGTTCAAATGTTCTGAAACTATACGTTTTTTGTGCAAACCTTTTCCTCTATATATATACGTGTCTGTGCCCATTACTGTCTTACTTAAATAACAACATTATAGTAATTAATTGAAGTATCCAATTGATCTTAGCAAAAGAATTTGTATATTTGGAAGAAAATCAGACTGTAAATATGAACAGCTGATTGACAGCCAATATCATATATAATAAGTTTATGTACAAATAAATTGTTTAATCATTTATGTTCTTTATTACTTGTCATATTTTAACGTTTGACGTCAAACTTGTAAATAAAAACAGATCTTTTTTAATTATAAATTTTAACAGTATAAAATATTTAAAAAAATCAATTAATATACAATTTTAACATATTATCATAAATGATGACCGGTCAAACAATTTACTATTATCTGTTTACTCATATTAAAGTAATTCTCATCAGATAAAAAATATTTAACGTATTATTTGTAAACATAAGCAAACTTATTTAAAAAATACTATTTAAATGGACAATTTTTATAAGCCAGCTTATAAATTATACGTAAAAAGATACTTCTGATATGTCTACCATTTTCCCAGTTTATAATTATTTTTAAATTAATATTTTTTATATATATTATAATTTTGGATGCATTTTATATATGTTAGTCTATTTATTTATTTATATACTAATTTTAATCAAATATATGAGTCATAAATACATATTAATAATATTTAATATATTATCCAAAATTATACACATTTGGTAATTACTTAAATTTGTTATTATATTTAAAAATAAACATATTACAAGTTTGAATGATAGTTATATTTTTCTTTTCAGAAATAATAATATATACTTTGATTAATTAAAATATAACAATGGTCTAAAGTTGTATAGTAACAATTTTGTGATTATTGAGAAGTCTTGTGGCAATTTTGTGATTATGAATGTTCAGATTGTAAATCTAATCTAAGAATTGAAAATTGATCTCATGACTCTTATATATATATATATATATATATATATATATATGATAAAAGGAAAAAGTATAAAAAGTTATTTAAATTAGTTAAAATATTTTTATTATTTATCCATTTAAGTTAAATATATGTTATTTTCATATATAGTAATTGAAAGATATAATAATAGATTTAGAAATTTAGTGTTTTAGATTTGAAAAAATCCAAATTAAAAATTACAAAATCCAACGATTAATTTATCAGTATGATATTATACAAGGAAGGTTCATTTAGGAACATTAAATATTTTAGAAACGTATGTACAACCTATTTTGTGAATATTCATGATGAATAATATTTATCATAAAAACTTATAAATTGTTCACACGTTGCTAAAATATTTAAGGTTCCTAAATAAACTTGTCCTTTTTATCCATTTATAGTAATTATTTGTGACATCATGACATTCAATCGGTCGTTGAAAAGTTTGGACAACAACAAATATATAAAAAAAACATATAGTTTGCCGGTTCAACTTGTTTTCAAATCATTAAAGTCTCGTATATTTTTCTATTTTAATTATAATAATTTATTTTTTAAAAATATAAATACAACAATTTAGTTTAAATTTACTTTTATAAATTAATATTATTTTATATCTTCTTATAAAAAGTATTTTTTTAACATTTGTACAGTCGTTGGATACAAAACCAGTAACAACTAAAAAAAATCAGTACCAAATACAGTTGGTTGGCACACGGTATAAGATTTCGTTTACGAATTATAATTTGTTAGTACACAGTATTAAAGAAAAAACTTGGTACTGTATTAAATCTACCCATATATGTATATATATTATTTA